CTAATTTGCATAGTGTGAAATAATGCAAATTTCCTCATTCTTGCAAGTTGCACGCGCGCGTGTGGTCGGACGGGGGGAGGGTCGAAGGACCCGAGCTATCGGGAAGGCAAATTTCTCATGCCAGGCCATTCCAGCGCCCGAGGCCCGCGAAGCGGGGTTTTGGGCGCTGTGTAGTTGATATAAAAAAATAGTTCCTGTGTGTGTGTGTTTGCATTTGCATGCAACTTCCGTCAGGTTGTTCCAGTGGTATCTCAAGAAGGAAGGAAGCTACGGGGGGTGTGTTTGATACGTCATTCGGTGTGTAACGGCCTTGGAACGGCTGCACACTTATCAGATTTTGCAAAAGTTCAGGGACACCCTGTACAGGGTGTCCCAATAAAAGGTCACCGCTGGCATTTTGCCATTTTCAAATCGATCGACTTGAAATTTTGCAACAGAGCGGCGGAAGGGAATTCAAAATGTTCACAGAAACTTCAGCCCGATCGGTACAGTAGTTTTCGAGTTATAGCAAAAATAAACTTTATTTTACGTTTTCACCTGGAATCCGCCGGAATTGAGCCCTGGAGTGTATGGAGAAAATGAAGCGCGACCCTTTTTATCTTAGAATTTTTTATTTCGCAAAATTCGGGTCGAAAATCGGCTATTTAAGTATTTTTTAACAAGCGCTAACGACGCCGATGTTAAGAAGAATAAGGGATTTAGAGCCGGAAATTTATGTTAATTGATGCAAAGTCCAAAAAGATAGGGCGAAAAAATGAAGCTAAAGTGTGGGAAAAACAGTATCCTACTATACCAGCCGCTTACAGGGTGGGCAAAAAAAAAAGCCCACAGTTTGGGTCGAAATAACTCGCGAACGGTAGAGAATCGAAGGTACGTTACCATGCCAGAATCTTAAATATGCTGGGCATGAAGATTTAACTACAACTTGATTTTTCGATTTTATGGGACGTATCATTACAAATGACACCCGAAAACCGTGCGTTCGGGAAACTTAATTTGCATTTTCTCAGTTTCCTGTGGTGACTGGCTTCTAATTTTATTGAGTGAGTTAATGTGGGCAGCAGATATGTACCTACAAAATTTAAGATTCTTTGAGGGTCTGGTTGAAAAGTTATAGAGGAACGGAAATTTTGTATGGAGAAATTTCGTAATTTTTCGATATTAAAAAAAACTTATGGTGGAAATGTCAAAAGAACGGGTTGTAGAATACCTACGGACTATGCACAGTGCATAAACATATTAAAAAATTTTCGAGGTCGACAGATTTTTGAGTTTTCCAACGATCCCCTGGTCATGGATTTTCGAGTGCCGAAACTGAACTTTGGAAAAATATTTCCTAAATTGCCAAAGGGCACTCAGCTATTTTCTTTTTAGCAACTATGTAGAGACTGTGGTTGATCTTATTATCTACAAAATTTCGAGCCACCGTACCCCTTTGGAGGGGGCGTCTTTTAAAGCCTGGCTTACGGTTCGTTCCGTACCTTTTTTCCGAATCTTGTCCGCATTTTATAGAATTTATTGGCGCTGTGAAAATTATTGTTTATTTTTTTATCTGATACCTGGTTAATAGCGCTACAAAAGCCTTATTCACTTGAATTTTTTTAACCAGCCGTTGGCGCCAGAAAATTCATCAAAGCCGAAAATAAACCGAATCGCGTTTTACGTAAAAAAAATTTTCGAAGGTGGACCCGTAGAGATATTTTGAGAAATAAATGGTGCCATCAGTTGAATAAAACTATTGCAAAGATTAAAGCAATTTCACGTCGCAAAATTTTAAAAAGATTTCTAAACATCGATTTTGGAAAGGGTGATCTTCGATTTTGAGCTGAAAGTCACCAGGATCATGAATCAGATTGCCCCCAAATTTTACGGGCGTAGATAATAACACCAAAACTATAATCGTATCCATAAGACCCAGCTGGGTTTTTTTATTTTTAAAAATTCGATAATTGACCCCGCTACTCGGACCCAAAATCAGCTCTCTGGCCTTGTTTTTCACTTGGCCTCGTAACCTTGTGATTTACCACCCAAAATCGGTAATTTTAACGGGGAATCTTACAATCAACTCTAGAGAAGGCCCTCGGGTGGAAAATCGTCGCCCGATGGATTTTGTGGTGGCATGCTAAAAGCGCTCCGTGGTTTATTAGAAAACCGAAATCTTGCGATTTTCGTGGTGTTTTTGCCATGGAATCGCTTTGATCTTTTCGTAAAACTAATAGTAGCGGTTTTGCTACAACTGACCAAAAATTTACAAGATTCTGTAGCGGAATTAAAACTCAGTTTTTAGGCTTTTCATGAAGTTTGTGGATAGTACGCTCTCGTATTTGGCAGTGAGTGCCACGCGTGCCTATAGCAGAAAATTTAGCCGGATCGAAGCTAGGGGCCCCGGAAAGTGGGAAACAGGAACCTCCAGTACCCCCATGGGGCACGTTTTATGCAATACAAAAATACCATAAATTGGGGGTGGAATCTGGTGTGGAATCCGAAGTTAATATTTGGATAGGTCACTGGCAAAATATCAGCCCTGGGCAGCAGTTATAAGCAGTTATCACTCAAGAACAAATAACGAAAACTCGCGAAAATTGTTTGCTTTTAATAGAAATTGAAGCCTCAAAATTCTAAAATTTTGCCATTACATTTCTACAATTTATCTATTTTTAGGCCAAAAATCAGAGCCTACCACCCGTTCAAGAACACACAATTTTCAGTTGTAACGAGCGTCAATAAATGAGTACAGTTGCGTACCCAAAAATCCAAAAAATCAAGTTGTGTTAAATCTTCGCCCCAGCATGTTTAAGCATTCTGGCATGGTAACGTACCTTCGATTCTCTACCGTTCGCCAGTTATTTCGACCCAAACTGTGGGCTTTTTGCCACCCTGTACAGCGGCTTTGCCGCTGCAAACAACTGGACTTCCGGCTACCCCTGTGCGCTCCTCCCCTTCGCCGAAACGCGCGCGACCTGGCTCACTATGTCCCCCACTCCTTTCTAACAAGGAGACGTTTTTGAGTGTCGTCGGAACTTGGGCATGGTACCAACCCTATCTTGTGCAGAATTTTACGCTGATTCGAATATGGTAACCGTTTTTGCGGAATAGCCATTTCTCGAAAGTTATGAACGATTCAAACCTCAAAACAGCCCAAATCGGCTACTTCCCATAGTCATAAAAGGCTCCCGAATAGGTTTAGATAAAACCAGATAGTGCATCTTGTTCACGAAAAATTCTCTATAAAATACTTTTCTTAACTCAAAATATGTTTGAATTTTGAAAATTTTATAAAATTAGGGGCATGTAAAATCAAATCAAATTTTCTAACTTTTTGTTGATTTGTCGAAGATGGGTACATTTTATGGAAAATTTTCTGAACAAATATTTACTATCTGGTTTTGTCTAAAACACCAGCCTGACTTATCAGCCGATTTTAGGCACTGATGAGATAAATGATTCATAGCTCAAATCTTCTTCTGGCTGTTACCATCACTCAAAATCAGCAGTAAGCTCTGCCCAAACAGGCAGTCTTTGGTGACGACATCAAGCCATCTTCCTGCTGAAAACTTTCAAAATTAATTTTAATAATTTAAACTAAAAGTTTTTATGATTTTTTTCCCGGTTTGGGGGTTTTTCCATAAGATTTGAGTAAGGACCAGAGCTTGATGCAAATCCTCGAGATTTGATTTGAACTCTCAAATGCGGATTTCAAATCAAATCCGCCGAATTCGAGTGAAATTTTTGCCTTCAAATATTTAGTTTTGAGCTCTCAGATTTAAGTCCAGATTTGATTTGAATAACCCCATCTTCTAGTTTAGACTAGAGATGTTACGCATACGAATACGACATAGGGGTTACGCGTCGTATTCGAATAAGCCGTCGGAATCAAAAATTTCTAATTCCGACCCGATCGTCGTATTCGAATTAGCGTCGGCACCAGGCAAATGCGACGATCGTATTCGTTTAAACCGGTCCACATTGGGATAATAAGCTAATTTGGATGCAAAGCGATATTACGAAGAAAACGATCGGAAATGAAACAAGTAGTCAGAATATGCATGATTTGAATAGATTTAGGAGCCGATTTCCCGGTCATTTCCGATTGGATGTGCCAATATTTTGATATTTATAGCATTTCGTTTTGAATTTTTAATTAGCTTTATATCCCGACGGTAAACCGACTTGCCAGATCATCGCGTCCGGAATGAGCCGAGGCTTGTTCGAATACGATCGTCGTATTCGAATTCCTCGACTCTCTTTCTCCAATCAGATATGCATATCGGGCTAATTTGCCGGAAGTAGCACATCGTATTCGTATGCGTAACATCTCCTAGTTTAGACTTAGGCGAAGGGGTAAGGTGCAGTTAGCCCCCAGTAGCTCCTCAGAGTCATACGTCTATTAATGCGCCGAGTATCTCAAAATGTTCGCCGTGTTCCGAAAATCTCTAAAAAAGTTGTTTACTTGCACTTAAAGTCGGTAAAAAATTTTTATAACAATTATAAGTCTAGGTTTCCTTAGTTAATTTTGCTGTACCAAAGTGAGTTTTCGTATCAGCCATCTTTAGCTGTACAGAGCTGTCAATGGTATCAAAATGTAGCTCTTACTCTGTAGAATAAGCCCTACCACAGTACGCTTGAGCCGAAATAGCCGGAAATAAAAATATTTGAGTTTTGACTCTTTGGTACATTGATGCATAGCGGCTTAATCTTTTCAACTTTCAAAATCTTGTAAAAAATTTTCTAACAATTTTTGCCGTAAGGAAACAACTTTTTTAGAGGTTTTGGACCACAGCGAACATTTGAGATGCTCGGCGCATTAATGGGCATATGGCTGGCGAGGAAGGCTGGGCTGGGGGGTAAGCTACATAAGCCGGCGAAGGATTAAGACGAAACACAGGGCGTCAACGGCGACTCGAAATATAATCAACGAAGCTTCGCAAGCTCGCCTTTCGGAAATAATCTCCTGCTAACCACCAAAAACCATCATTTCTAGATAACTTCCGACATGCTCAACGCGAAATCCCGGCCGGGACAGCAGCGAGTAACATTTCGAGCTTTGCCAATCGAGAAATCTGGCGGACTAATAGCTTGCAGGTGGTCATGAACCGAACCCAGGTCATTCGGATGGGACCACTCGCGATCCGACTGCGCCCCGGCCCGATTTGCGCCTGGAGATCGGCGGGGTGCCGTCGTCTGATCTGGTTATCGGGCTAACCGGACGCCTAATATCTGTATTATGATCGAGAATTAATCTGTATACTTGACCTGTAATCTAAGATGGTACCAAGTTTATTAAAGGGCTGCCGACGGCATGTGTCGATCCCCCCTCATCAACAAATTGGCAAGTAGCCAACAGGGGAGAGAAACGCCCAGAGGAGAGCGCAGAGACATTTTCTTTCCCGCGCGTAACCGATTGACTATACCGTCAGACATCCCTTTAAGCTTTTGAATAGCCAGCAACTTTTTGTTGTGCCCATATTTTGTGGCATTTTTAAGAGTTTGAAAGGAATTTAGCACTTTTTGTTGCCACGAGATTCGTCTCTTTTTGCGAAAACCAAAAGCCCTTTTTTCAAAAGTCTCTTTTTAGCCTGAGAGATTCCGTATTAAAGCGGGATGTACCAATTTTTTTCTATAAGTCTAGATATGCTGAAGATGCTATGGGAAGGAAAGAATCTGTGTTAGCCCGTCCCTCCATTCCCTCCACCTCAAAGACTCTGTAGTTAGCCTTCCCGTCCATCCCCTGCAATTCCTCAAAGAATCTCTAGTAGCCTGCCCTCTCCATCTCCTCCAATTCCTCAAAGAATCTCTGCTAGTCTGCCCCCTCCATCCCCTCCAATTCTTCAAAGAATCTCTGCTAGCCTGCCCCTGGGAGAGGGAGAGGGAGAGGGAGAGGGAGAGGGGAGAGGGAGAGGGGAGAGGGAGAGGAGAGGGAGAGGGAGAGGGAGAGGGAGAGGAGAGGAGAGGGAGAGGGAGAGAGGGAGAGGGAGAGGGAGAGGGAGAGGGAGAGGGAGAGGGAGAGGGGAGGAGGAGAGGAGAGGGAGAGGGAGAGGAGAGGGAGAGGGAGAGGGAGAGGGAGAGGGAGAGGGAGAGGGAGAGAGGGAGAGGGAGAGGGAGAGGGAGAGTTGCGGGAGAGGGAGATGGAGAGGGAGATGGAGAGGGAGAGTTTTAGGAGAGGGAGAGGGAGAGGGAGAGGGAGAGGAGAGGGAGAGGGAGAGGGAGAGGAGAGGGAGATCATGATGACAAGGAAGCGGAAGTAGAGGATATTTGAGGGAGCAGCACCGATTTGGCTGCTGTCGCCTTTAACAATTGCCGGATTTTCCTCCACTTTACTGCCAAAAAGCAAAAAATTGATTTCTTGGCCCGAAAACCTGATCCTCCTACCCGTCCGGCCTTCTCCAAGTCGCCGGTCCTCGCCATCAGTCGGTTGGCGAGCATTTCCGGCGTCCCGACCGGCTCCTGCTCGTGAACTTCTTGCAGCTGAAACATGGCACGCTGGGGATTCCTTTTTTTTACTCGATTTTTCCACGATTTTTAAAAAAGATTAAACACTCAGGTTGGTTGGACGCCAAAAACACTGTAGCAAATTTTTCTGCATAAATTCTAGCTTGCGAATTTTCCCAATCTTGAAAAAAGTCAGATATTGCGGGTTGTGGAGGGCAAAGCCGATGGGCAAGGCTTCGGTTTAAATGTGATAGTTTATAAGTTAGCAGACTGAAAGCGTGACAACGACGAGCACAAATTTGCAATCAGAATGCCGGAATCTTTCTCTACAGTTATTCCATTTAGTCCATGACGCAAATAACCCTCCGGATCGTCGTCTTCCTCCTTTGTGTCCATTCGAAAGCCGGGGCGTAGACCGCCGTAGTTTAGCTAGGCGAGGAGCTAGGACCAATGAAACAGCTAACAAGAAGTTTGCCCCATCGCCAAATCAGTCCGGAACCAAATCGTTATATTTTGCGAGCTCTTTTATAGGTTATGCCATTGACCCAAAAAGTGCAACTGATCGGCTTGGAGAACAGTAGATCGCAGAGCCCCGTCTCATCCTCGCGGTGCAACTGGCGCCGAATGTAGACGACGAGCTCGTCGGGTGGAAAACAGGGCGTCAATGAAAGCCCCTTGACAAAAGATGTGCAGGCCTACGCGATGTAGAATAAAGTTATTGCGCTTTTCGTTCTGAGCTTCCTTCACAGCCCTGACTTATAAAACACCCTTCGAAAAACTATTTGAGAAATTGGGGGTGGGGAGCTGAAGGGGTAGGTTAGTAGAGATTCTTTTCGGAATTGGAGGAGATGGAGCGTTAGACTAGAAGCGACCAGTTGTGGAGTTGGAACATGAAGCAGAACATGACAAACTTGCCGTTCTTTGTGATTCTAAAATGAAAACTTATAGTTTAACAACTTAAAATGTAGGAAATGATCTCATAGAATCAAAAATAAAACCCAAATTTCTAATATCAGAGCTTAGCAGAGAGATAAGAATTTTAAAAAGTTTTCGCTGCGGGAGCCTTTCGAGCCGGATCGCTGCGGGAGCCTTTCGAGCCGAATCGCTGCGGGAGCCTTTCGGGCCGGATCGCTGCGGGAGCGTTTCGAACTTACGCGAGTTTCTCGAAGACAACCCGATTTTGAGGGCGAAAAACGTTCCTTCGAAGTTTTTCGCTTCGCTACCGATACCTCCCCTAGCCTCAATCCCCGTGGAAAACCACTTGGATACCTTCCTGATGGCTTTGGATACCTTCCCTAGCTGAAATCCCCTTCAAAAACCACTCAAATATCTTCCTGATGGCTTTAGATAATTTCCCTAGCCTAAATCTCCTTTGGAAAAAACCACTTCTGATACCTTCCTGATGGTTTCAGATACCTCCCCAAGCCGAAATCCCCTTCAAAAAAAAAAAAAAAAAAAAAAAACTACATCGATATGTTTGTGATATTTTTAGATACTTCCCCAAGCTGAAATCCCCTTCAAAAACTACCTAAATATCTTCCCGATGGCGTAAGATACCCCTCATGGCTGAAATCCCCTTCAAAAACTACCTAAATACCTTCGTGATGGCTTCGATACCCTCCATGGTCGAAATTTCCCTTCGAAAACTACCTAAATACTTTTTTGATGGCTTTGTATACCGTCCATGGCTGAAATCCCTCTCTAAAACTACCTAAATACCTTCCTGATGGCTTCAGATACCCCCCATGGCTGCACCCCCTTCGAAAACTACCCCAAATACCTTCCTGATGGCGTGGGGATACTTCTCCCAGCTGAATTCCTCTTCGAAAACTACCTAAATACCTTCCTGACGGCTTTAGATACCTTTCCTAGCTGAAATCCCCCTAAAAAACTACTGGGATAGCTTCCTGGTGGCTTTGGGTTGCATTTTGGCTCGATTCTTCTACCATTTGACTTGTTTTCGACCGTTCTGGATGGTTTTTATTGTACTGGTGTTTTCAGCCTGTTTTGCTGAATACGCCTGAGCCATGCTCGTGCCGAAGGAAGAGCTCAAAGAGTACGTTCTGAACTCCACTTGGCGCCGGCGATTCCACTGCATGATCTTGTCTCATGCCGTCACCGGAGAAGAGGATGAAACGGTATGTTTTACGCAAGCGCGATTTGCCGCGCGCGATCTAGCAAAACGTTGTTTATTGTTTTTTTCAGCCCCTGTTCACGACCCGCCGTTCTGCGTCTACCAGTTTCACCGACAAACGTGCCGAAGGAACGCGGGATCGGCGAGCTGAAGGTGCTCGAGGAACAAGGACACGATGGAGAGTCCCGCGTATTGTGATGCGTCGCGAGCAAGTGCACAGAAGGTGTGCGTCAACCGTGGCTTGTGGATGCCTCGGAGTGAAAGATCGAGCTGATGAGGAACCAGCTGAAGGTTTCGCTGCGTGCATGGATGGCAAGTCGGATGGGTAATTTAGCGATGATCATGTGTTCTTTAGTGAGTCACTGGTGACGAAACTGTCTCTGCTCGCTCGCTTCACCCGCTGGCCGCTGAGTTCCGCACCGTCTTTGAAGCTGCCAGGAGAACGCCAAAACTATGGTAGATAGCGTTTAGATTCTAATTTTTGCTTTAGCGTCGCCCCAAGAGCCTGTGGACATCAAGGTCGAGCCCAAGAGTGAGCTGGCTGAAGAGGAAGTCATCCTGCGGAACGAGCCTGCCGTCAGCCTCCTACTTTCGACTGGGAAGGCGCCGACTGGCAGTTGGGATTGCGCCGGATGCTACCCAACAATCCTGCAACGGCCGCCAAGTGCAACTGCTGCGGTACCGCGGGCAAAGACGGCAGCGCCTGGTAGAGCCTGAGCTACCCAAGTATCTATCCTTACCAAAACGTTATTACTGTTTAGGACCACCTTCAACCAATCAGCCCCTCACAAAAGTCTCTTTCGGCTTCAAGAACGCCGTCTGACTTTTGGATTTTCAAACAGCGCTGCCGCGGCCGAGCAACCCAAGCCCATCAAATTACATCTGTGCAGCTCGTTGCGGAGGGCGTGGGAGCCCAGTAGGGGCCAAGTGGTGGCGCTGACAGGGCTGGTCTTCCGAGGCCCGTGCCCGGGATGCAAAAGAGGCTGGTTTTAATTTTTTCAAATGGTAACCTTTCAATCATAGAACCCGCGAAGTATGAAGCTTTACCACATAGAGACAGCACATCGGCCGCTTTTGAGGTATTTTTCTTACTCAGATTTAAACAATTTGTTTAGATTAAAAAATGTCGCATCACCTCCTGTGAATGCAAGCCAGCGGAAGTTCAGAAGCCCATGCCCAAGACCGACCCGGCTGAGGAGGTAGTCATCCCGCGGAACGATCCCGCCGCGCAGCCTGCTGGTTTCGAGGAAGCGCGCTGACTGCAGTTGGGACTGCGCCGGATGCTACTCCAATAACTGCAGAGCGTCGCCAAGTGCAACTGCTGCGGTACTGACGACGACTGATGTGCTCTAGATGCGAAGAAAACCCATCTAAAAACGCCGAAATTGATATTTACAACGAATTCATATTTGTGATTGCCGATAAATGTGACATTTTCAAGCGTTGGTATTGTGCTTCCAGCGGCGTTGGATCGAGATCGATCAATATTTTGGATTCTATGAAATGATGATTACTTC